TCTCCATGCCAGCAGCACAGGGAGATGGGGAATTGGGGGCTGTTATATCTAAAATCTAGAGACCCATTCAGATCTTCAGAGGGAGGGAGAATGAAAATCCTGTAAATTATCAGGGACTTCCCAGAGAGAGTCTCCTGTTGGAGTCTGGAGCTTGTATGCTTCTCGGGTCCCCAGTCCTGGAGTTAGAACATGACCAGAATATGTTGGAATTGTGTACTTTAAAAGTCCCAAATGCCCAGCTTTGAGACAGTCTGAATGGCTGTGGCTGTCTGGGACTGACTGGCAGAGCTGCGACCCCTGCTTGGGTGCTTGCCCTGACAGAAATGCCACTCCTGTGTTTCATTAGATGCTTGGTGAAAAAAAGCCCATTTTGCAAAATATTTCAGTGTCAGTAAAGCAATGTCATCCTTTGACAAGTTGTTCTGATAGAAAAATCCTAACTTGTATTAAGCAAGTTTGTTTCGGTCTTTTCAGTATTCCATGGTTATACCATTTCACTTTCACACTGATCAAGTTAATTTTTACCAGATGTCACCCACTTGCAAATGACATGGCCAACAAGTCATTTCTGATTCAACTCTTCATGTCTTCTCCACAGATCATGAGTGTTCCCTGGGCCTCCTCCCTCTGGCCATGGCAAATCACCATGTGTGAAAGGATCAAAGTGAAGCTTTGGCTCATCAGGTTTTCTAAATCCTATTTTTTGGCAGCTCTTCTTCCTCAAAGCCATGGAATGTATAATTTGTACTTGTACTTGGGACCAAACTCATGACCTATTAGTGAAAGTCTGTTTATGCTCTGCCCAGATTTTTTACCAATTCCCAGGCAGGTTTCTTCCTTTTCCTTGTCTTCAGTGAAGGATCTAACAGCCTGTTTTCTTCCCATGGAAGTTTCATCACAGAGAATTCAAACTAGCTCTAACTGGTGAAAGAGAATTTTTATCCCTTTCATAATTGCAGGCATACCCCCGAGCAATTTTCCCACTCACCATATGACCTGGAGACCACATCTGCTTTGAGAGGGAACAAAGAACACAGGCCTGCTTCCAACAGTCAACGTGGTCTGTGGCCAGGAATAGACAGCACAGTGTATATTCATCTTAGTAACTAGGACAGAATTTACACAAGCAACACCTGCTGGTTCTCTCCATCGTTGTGGTGTTTCTGCTCAGACCAGGGGCCTGATGGCAGCTGGGAGCCAAACCCCTTCAGAGAGGTATCTGACTCTGAGCACATGGAACCCCAGTTGCTTCCCTTCTCTGAGCAAAGCTGTTTAGGTTCCTTTGGCATGGGAAGCAAACACTGCTGTGCCAGCTGTGGACTGACAGCACCGACCTTAAAGCAACTGTTCTGGGACAGGAGAAATTGTCCTGAGGACATGCCCTCCCTTTGGCTTTTTGGGGAGCCTGCATCTTAGCTTGGACCAGCCGCCTATGTTTTTGAATGGGTCAGAAAGGAGAGGCCTCATTTATCACCATGGCACTAAATGTTTTCTTGGCCACCAGCAGTGCCAGGAGACACTGTACTTTCTTGTCTACAAGCTACAAATGCAATGACAAATTCTTTTTCTTCTCAGGGTCATGCTTAGGGCTGTGTTTACTTGTGTGCTAAGATACACGTTGAATTAAATGTCAAAGGACCTCTTTTCTTCATAAATGCTTCCCTGAGAAGCTGGAACTGCATTTTATTTTTAAATTGGGAATGAGGTAATGCCACAAGGCTGTGCTTGCAATGTGATCTCACTGAATCAGAATGATCAGAGTTTAAACAAAAGCCTGCCTTTACCTTTTCCTCTGTCTGGCCAAGGCATCTTGGAACAAGATACTTCCATTGCCATTAGGCAGCTGGATCAGGCTTGGGGAGTTTATCCTGAGAGGATCAATGCCAAAACCCAGGCGTTACAGTACTTGGTGCTTGAAAATCTAGATCGTGTGTGTGTACACCAGGCAACGACATAAACCTTCACCCAGTGGGCACTGAGGTCAGGCTTGTACAAAAGTACTTGTCAAATGAGGATTCCACCAGTTTAAATGTCCAGGGAAGTATTTGCAGCACCACCAACATGTTTCACGCTAAAAAAATTAAGAAACCTAGAGCACACCTGACAGCTTCATTATAAGGCACTCAGCTTTGCATGTCTCTGCCCTTTGCAAGAGACTGTTACCTCTGTCAAGTTTTTAATTTCCTAGCCTAGTCTTTTACTTCCTCAGACTGTTAAAGGTTACATTTAGTCAAAGCAAGACAATAAACAGCTGTCAGTTTTTTTCATTCAGTTCTCCCTTCCACATTTTACCCAAATTTGTATTTTAGCACCTGGCCTCTCCATTGAGTTAAATCTGTAATTCACCATCTGTGTACCCGGATGTGTATGGATGTAAATTTTGAATCAGTCTCCATAGTGAGCTGAAAATTGGCAGCAATGAGACCTTGTCATTAAAAATGGCCTCTAACTGTAATTTTTGTAATAAGCTTTGAATTAGATATGAAATAACTCTTAAACCTACAAAATCAACTTATTTCTGCATATTCATCTTCCACCCATTAGGGCTTTCTGATATCCCATTTCATAAACGGACATTTCCCCAGAGTTCTGTCCATTATCTTCCTCTCTTGAGAGCATCAGTTATGCAGTATTCACATGATGCCAAAAAGTTCTAGAAATCTGATAGATTAATAAAATTTGTAGAAAAACAAGCACTTTCCGCATATACAGGACAAAATATCCTCTTTGAAACAAGAATTTGGCAGCAAACACTAATTCTGGACCCTTGCTGTGGCTGAGCACTTCCAATAATGTCCCTTCATCAAACTTGATTCCCTCTCCTTTCCTCCCAGACTGCCCTGTCTTATCTGACCAGAAAAGGGATCCCTGGGGGCTCAGTGGTGAGACTGTCCCACAGTTTTGAGGCTGGTGTAGTAGTAGCGATGATACAGACATGGTGGTGTATGTACAGTAATGTACAAACGGATTTTAAAGGAATTTGGGTATACAAAAGCAACCCCCTGCTTTTCTTCACTGTTTTCTAGGAAAAGAAACATTTTCAGGCAATAATAAGGAAAAAAGGAATTTTCAGGTCAATTACATATTGTCAACACATTTTCACACATTTTCCACATAATCAAAACAATGTTAAAATGTTTCTGGCTTGAATTTGCTTCTGGTTTCTTGGAAAACTTAAGCACAAACCTTTCAATGTGCTACATTTTCAAACTGGTGTACATCTTCCCAAGCACTTTTGGCAGCAATGCCACAAATATAAAGAGTCTGCAGAACCTCTTAGGGCAGGGCCATGAAGAAGGCTTTTCTTTGCCTTGCGTGCAAGTACAACTTTCCCTGTAATCAGGTTCTGTTTTTCCTCACCAGTGACTAATCATAGGAAATTATCTACAACATTTATGTCTTCACTCACCTTCATTCCTTTATGCAACCCATTAAAAATAAATATTCTATACACACCACAAAAAAAAAAAAAACAACATATTTTTGGAAGAAGTGCTAAAGCTTAAGTTCTTTGCATATGACCCCTTCATGCAAAGGCAATAACATTAAAAAAACACAAACAAACAAACAAAAAAAAAAACCCAAAAAACCTGTCTATTTTGTAACAGAGATGAACGTATCAGGAAGGTGTATTAAAAGCTTGAAGGCCTGGACCATTTTCTCATAAATTTATGGCAGATTGGCAAGGTGGCGCTCTGCTAAATTTACATAGACTGACTACCTTGTCAGATGATCTGTATGAAATAAACACCCAGTTAAACAGCTTGAAAAATACCAAATTATCAAAATGACAGTATTTGTACACAGAAATACTTAATGGTGCAATTATGAGAAAATGTGATTTTTAAAAAAACTGAAGCACCGCACACATCCTAGAGTAACAGAGCTACCACATTCATTAGCAGATAGCAAAATACATATATTCATAGCAAAAATACGAATACTGAAATAACTGCACACTTACTATAATCGTAAGTGTAGTGCAACATGTTTGTAGACAGGCACTTTAAAGACTTTTTCCAGCTCCCCTTTCATCTGAATGATGTTATAGTCATTTATAATAAAAGCAAGGGAATGTAAGATTTCTCAGTTCAGAATAGAGGCATTTTGTTTTAAATTTCATCTTGCCAGTTAATACCAGTGACCACTGAAGATACAGACCATTAGAGAATTTAGGCTCTGTATCCTCTTTCACACCATCATGGACTTGAGATGCTACTTTAAAATTAATTTTAGTCTTTTAATTCTATAGTCTGTGGTCTCAATTATTTAACCCAGAGGGCTGACTTTCAAAGCATGAACCTCTTATTAATATTCAGGAAGAATCAGACTCTTAACAACTCTCATTTGAGAGCAGAAATGAAAACCAGACTTTTCTGTCTTCCTCACAGCTACTTCAGAAAATCAGTTCACTTCTAATCAGAAAGCCTCTTCCCTTTTAGTAAAACAAATATGCTTAAATCTAAAAGTCTAGACACTGGGTCTTAAAAGTGGTGGCCTTTTGTCTCATCCTAGGAGCCATGGCACTCTAAAGCACCAAGCAGGGATGTCTGCAGGGAGGCTGTCACTTCAGAAATTGCGTTTAGCAGTCTGGGCACAGACAGATTGTGAAAACTCTGCAGTCATCCTAATTAAGGTGACATTCTCCTACAAAAAGACATACTATTGTAAAAAGTTACAGGAAAGCTTGTTTGCAAAATTAATCTGTAGAGAGATCAGAAACTGTGGTCTAACGAAATTAAGTTTCAGGTAAATCAGTAAACAGTTTTGGGAGGAAGACAAGCTGCTGGTTACTCAGACCATCAGTCACCAATTCACAATGCACAATTTCAGATTAGAAAGCACAGTGTTATTAAGGTCAGTCTAATGCTTATGCATATCCTAACTAGAAACCAGAAAGGAAAATGATAAATTATGGAGCCATTAAATTAATAGGAATTAAATTTGGGAGGAGTCAGAAGATGGATGAGAAATGCAGATTATTTGAAGTCATCACTTACAAAAAATGCTGTTTGGTTTTCGGGAGAAACAATCCAAGTTGTTGCATTGATTATAAATTATTCCTGTGTGCTACTCTTTAGCCCTCCTGTAACATCCACATGCCTGCAATGTGCTTTTGGGCACATTTAAGGCAAAGCATCAGGTTCCTTGCAGTGAACAAGGCTGTGGCTGGATTGCACAGCTGCTCCCCAGCATTCAGAGGCTGGTGGGACCAGCAAGGGGGTATTATTCTTTTGATTAGATTTTATTATTAGAATCAGGAACTGGTGAGGAATCACCTGTGTGTACTCCTCAGATGGTTGCAATTTTTCAAATGTTCAAATAGTATTTTCAAATGGCTCTTCAGCTGAGATAATTTAGGACAGGGGAGCTAGTTCATATCTAACCAGCACCCCTGCTGTATTCTCCAAATAAATGAATATGTTCCCTGTAACATCAATGGAGAGGACAAAAAAATCACTTTTGAAATGACTTTGTAACCTGAAAGGCAAAAAACCTAAGTCAGGTGTATCAGATCACCCTGGAGGGTCTTCAAAGGTTTTCATATCTGCCCCCTGACAATGTGAGAAGGTGTTCATTTACCTGAGGAGATTTGGTCCATTAAATTGCTTAGATTTATGTGAGTTTGGTGCTCAGGTCAGGCAGACAGAAGCTGCTGAGCCCACAGCTGCTTGTTTTCTCTCTAGAAAAGCTCACAGGTTACTGGGAGCAGTCTTTGCCTACTATTCTGCTTGCCTTCATATCAAGAATTTGTCATGGTCCATGATGCCCATATAGTGTTGAAGTGGGGAGAAGGAAGAAGTTTTTCTCTTCCATCCGGAAAACAGCAGACTGCAATACTTAGTTAGTTGTTTGTTGTAAGGAGAGTTTATTATTCACATCAGCATTTTCAGCCAGGCTTTGCTAAAAAAATAAATTGTGTTCCCTTTTCCATAATCTTCTTGCATGAACATTGAGATTTCTCTTTTGACCAAATGCATTTGTGAAATATATAGTTTCCCATAAAAACTCTCCAAGTATCAGACAGAAGATCAAAGCTCAAGAGCCAAAACACATTTTGCCAAACCTCATTACTTGTCATAGGGAAGGTGAGTGGGAAAGGACATTTCTCTTAATGAAAAACACCATCATAATTTTTGAAAATATAAATTTTTTCCTCTGATAACTCTGCCCTGCCTGCCACTGACCCTGCATTTAGTATAAGTAAACATCTTTGTAGTTGCACAGATCAGGAACTTCTCTAAATTGCAGCTGTTAGCTTTCCCTGTAAATTTTTAATTTAATGACTAAAAATAAATAAGAAGGAATATACAGGGATTCGTTGGGATTTTTTTTTTTTAATATTGTTGCTGTTAAACTTCTTATTCTGGAGGGATTGTACATTTTTCCATCATTGTATCACCACCATTCTGTAATGAGAAAGTAAAAAACACAACTCTGAGATCAATACATGCAGTTTAACTACATATCCTTACTACCAAAAAATAAATTACCCAGAACTTTTAAGAATTCTGAAAAATCTCAGAGAACTCTGCATACTTGTATTAATCTTTGTTTGATGTGAAGATTTCCTATAAAAACCCACAACCCTGCCAAGTGCAGGAATGATTAGGCAGACAGCTCCCAGAACATTCAACATCTTGCAGGAAGTGGGTGCTTTAGCCTGCAGTGCACCCAACAGACCCCTAAACACATCACTGAGAAGTGAATTATGAGTTTTAAACCAGTAGTTGCAGATTTGCTGTAGCATCTGCAGTGTCTTGGAGATCATAATAAAATTGCAGCTCTCAGATTAATATCTATCAAAAGCAGCATGGTCTGAGAACACTGAAATACTTCACCAGAGCAAGCAGAATAAAGAAAATGCCCAGAGCATGTTTCAATGTCAGGCACTCAAGTGTTTGGCACAGGTGGAGAAGATTTCTACACGCTTCTGATATGGGAAGGAACTTTTCTCATAACTGATTTTGATAGGTCAGAATCAGGCAGATGCTTCTTTCTCCTTCCACTGTGCTCTAAACAAAGACAGGGTGTAGTGGAGTGCTATTCTGCTGAATTCCAGTGTGTGTGATGATGAGGATGAGGTAATGTATTCTGCTTCTAAGGTGGTCTCACAGCCACAGATATACATGGAATAAGCACGTGCCTCATGTTCCAAGGCAGAAGATTATTCTGGGTGACAAAACAAGGGTGCCTAGTACAGTTCTGGTACTTTGGGTATCCTACCCATCTTCTGTCATGCCAGAGGATCCTGGGTCTCCTGCAGCACATCTGTGAACCCAACTGTGTGGATGTTTCAGCAAATTTAGGGCACCACAAAGAGAATCAGAGCCTCTGCTAAGGAGTGAAATCCCAGCCTTCCCTACCAGCAGTAATTCACACGCACACATGCACATACACAATGCTTCCATGATTAAGGCAGTATGTCATTAATTGAAATCAGGTCACAAACAGTAACTCGACCATGTTTTGCTCAGTCTTGGAATGGTTGTTTATTCCAAAGTCATGAAGCCTCCTGTAAAGTAAATACTTTTAGAGTACAGTGCCATAATTACATGATGTAGAAACATATGGTGCTTTGTCAAATACAATAAAAGACATAAAATCACATTAAGATGATCTGCTAATATAACAGAATGTAAAAGTAACATCTGAACAGCAAAAGAACTCAGCAGCCAAATAGTTTAGTTGTCAGGTCTGCCATTAAGATAAAATGGCTAATTCAGATGAGTATTTTGGGCAAGAAGCCTCCTTTTCATACTGCAACCAGGATTTTGTATTTTAACAGAACGAATTTTAAATGAAGGACTATTTGCCAGGCAAATCAAAACTCTTTTCCGGTGTGGCTGTCCCCATTTTACTGGTAGGCAAAAAGAAGACAGGATTTTAAAAAGAAACCTAATGCATTTGGGTATAAAAATCTCAGTGAATTCGAATTCTTCTTGTTACTCTGAAAATCCTGCACAGAGTGACTGGTTTGTAGGGGAACTCTGTAACAACACAGGATAAAGATCAGGAGCCCCGTCTGAGTCCTTTTTTAGCCAATGGATTTAATCTACCCTCACAACACTGTGTAACTAAGGAAAGCACACTGAGGAAAAGAGTTCTGATCCTGACTCATAAAAAAGAGAAGAATAAATAAACCCCAAAAAATAGGAAAATAAAAACCCAAGGCTTTTTTAATGATCAGTTTTCTAGTTCTGCCTCATTATATAGACAACTGGTAAAAATTTTCCTTTGTCTTAGTGGAACTAACAGATTCAGAAGGCTTATTGCTTACTCCTTGAAGGTTTATGAGGCATGCAGGTACAACAGTGACGTATTTAAGTCTTTCCAGTCAGTGAAACACAGTTCCTCCGCTGTGTTGGAGGGCAGCAAGCTGAAGTTACAAAATGGGCTGTTTCACACAGCAAGAGTATGACTTGTTATAGACACGAACCCAGTATTCTTTTTCTTAAAGCCAAGCTTGGGTGAAAAACTTACACAAATGAAAGCTCAGGGCCAAATTTTGCTTTCTGTTCTACTTGGAAACTAAGCAGACATTTCTCTTCAAAGAACTGTACCACAACCTGATCTATAAAAACATAAGAACAGATTGAAATTACATTAATATAAACAGGCACCACTGAAAAGAACATTGAGTACTCAAAATTGTGGACATTTATGTGAATACTTTCTACAATAGTTATCTTGCACATTGTAAAGAGATATAAAAAGTAAATGTCACTTTCCTTTTTAATAAATTATTTTTATTTCACCTCTAGTGGCAAAGATATTTAATTACAGAACTGGAAATTCAGAAAGAATTTTCTGGTCTCTTCCTTTTGGGACAGAAAAGAGTAAGAGAAGAATGTGGTCAAAAATGAGAAAGTTAAGACCCGCAGCTACAGAAAAGACAAGACATTAATTTTTCAGTCTCATTATACATGTTAACTGTAAATAACTACTTTCATGGCTCATTTCTTAAAAGAAAAATTGGAAAGCCAACCTTAGTTTAATGTTTTTTCCAAATTTTAGGGATGGCAAGAATTTCCTTTGTGGCCCACATCTTCCTTCCTGAGACTGGATTTTAATTAATTTGACTAGTGGGATAAAAGCCTAAGGTCTTTCCAGCATACTCACACTTGTAGCAGGGACTCCAGTTCCTGTCTGTTTACCACATCAAACTCTCACATGTCCTTTGAGTCCCAAATACACACCCAAAATAAGACAAAATTGATCATATCTTCTTGCTCACAGAAACCCAAGTCTAGACCTGCTACAGACATTGCCTGGAAGGTTCAGATGACAATGTAGACATGATCCTAGAGAGATGCCTTGCTTCAAAAGGAAGACACTGAATTGCTGAAGTTCAGACTGTGGTACTATTGCTTAGTTTGAACTGTACTTTTTCATTAATGAAGGTTGGAAAGGAAAAAAAAATCAAAACCAAAGAATGCTTTGCTATTAGAAAAGAAGAGTTTTTACAAGCTGGTTTCCACTCTTCTTCTAAGCATCTTGGAAGAATTCTTTTAAAATAGATATGTTTTGGACAGATGAGCATTTTCAATGTAAAAAAGATGCTTTGGATTTTTTTGTTTTGTTGGTTCTGAAAATGAAATTAGATTTAGATAAAAAATGTAAAATTACAGATCTTTAAAAAAACTGCCCATATACACATTATGGAACTAATATAGCTGGGCTCTTCGAAATACATTTTTGAACATGAGTTTGAGGGGAGACACCACAATTATGAATGTTCTTCTCAACTACCACAGACCAAGAGAACCATTTCTTGCCCAAACATGTTTCATCAAATTTGCTCCTGCAAATAATCAGAAGGAACACAGAAAGAGGAAAACTCGTTGTGAGTAAGGGTCTCACAGCCTGGCACATTTGGACTAAAGGTAACTGTTTCAGAAAAAGCTAATTAATAAGTTCTGAGCTTCATCCATATATGAAGCCTGGAAGAGGGTCCTGGTCACACCTGAATCTCAGTGAAAGCTCTGCCCTTCTGCACCCTCAGCAGCATCAGGGCCTCCCTGTCAAAGATGCAGAACTGAACGTATGTGTTGGGAGTTGTCTGCTTAACAGCACAATACTTCTTCTTTCCCTTCATAAACAATGAGCTCTCAAGCTCCCAGAAGCAAAGAAACCAGGCAAGGAAATATTTAATCAGTGAAAGAATGAAATTATATGCAGCTGATAAAG